ATATAGAATAAAGTGTTACATGTACTCTGTGAAGGTACTACGTGTGAAGTCCCGATATGCATTCACACCTTTGCTTCGCCATATGCTTTGTCCAATAAGTTGCAAGATTTTGCGGACGTACGTACATTATTTAATTTTGCAATATAAACATACACTTCGTGAAATTTCAATATCACTCCGTTCCTGGTAAAAAAAAATTCCGACCGACCGACCCAATTTTTCTGATTCCATGTTATGCAAAACGGAAATTAATTTTCGTGTCCTTAGGCTAGGGTTAGCTTTATTTTTCATCAGAATTTTTAATTATCGGGATTTTTAACTGTCGGATTTTAGCTGTCGGGATTTTTGCTGTCGGGATTTTTCGTCGGGATTTTGACCCAAACCTCCTAGATAGACCCAGTTTTACTTATTTGCCTAATTACATGTAACATTAAAAATTATTTGTACATGGTTTTCACACTAAATTTGTAAACCCTTAGGTCTAATGCTAATCTGAAACTGTCAATTAGAAGAGATGATCTATATGGGATCTTTGCTAGGAAAATCATCATCCGACATTTTCCTATCGGGCTAATTCGTAACATTTTAAACCAACATACCGGTACTTATTTGCATGCAAATAAATTTTGCCTTTATTGATTCAAACGTTATTCGATATGCTATTGAATCACTAAGGGCAAAAAATGATTTACATGTAAATAAGAACCGGTATATTGGTTTAAAATGTTACGAATTAGCCGAATTAGCCCGATAGGAAAATGTCGGATGATGATTTTCCTAGCAAAGATCCATATGGGTTTTGAACTAGGAAAACCACCGTTTGAATTTTACCCCTTAATTTTAGACTGAATAAACAATATCATGTGATTATAAAACATTGATTGACCAATCCAATTTAATTGAGCCGTCGATTTTTTGCCGTTAATTTATTTTTACATGGTCTACCTTCAGTTAAAATATCTCAATAAATTATTATATCAATGTAGAGTAAAAGTAAAATATATGCAAATAGGAACTGACACTTTATTTTGAATCAAAATCTTGAGATTGATAAAAAAAGTGTCAGACATGGGTTGTTGTTGAGCAATCAAAAAACGATCTACATTATGAGACACCAGAATCATGTTCAAATTTGTTAATTATTTTATTATTGATTTGTTAGAGTGATGTAACTGATAACCATTCCAAAATATTCTAAATTAGACTCGAGTAATTTTTGCATGTCTTTATACAGTCGTGCTCCTCTATAAGCACTCAGTTTGTTCTATGCAAAAAATATGTGATTATAAAAATTCTATTATGATGTATGCTTATATATAAATATTAGACGATTATAGAGGAATACAATTGCATTTTGATAAATATCAAAATTTTTTGAGCACTTAGATAATTACTTGACAGATATATCGCATATCGATAAAAATCAGCGTAAATAAATACTACAACTAATATATTGATTGATTTGATTGATGAAAAGTAAACAGTTGAAGGATAAAGAAATCGGTTAGGCGCAAATTCTTACATTTTATCTAGCTGTTAAGTTGATAATCAACTGTTTTCTTTTTTAGGTCTTCCGTTCCTGGTTTTGCGCTATAAAGTTGCGCAGCTATCTAGTATATTAATCTAAGTATTTAAAGTAATCTATTCGACACCATGAATCTTTACTATTTATTCTCATTAATTAGCTGATAGGTAAAATCTAGCGATCAAGTATCACCAATCAAAAAAATTTTGCTCTTATTTGAAACTAATAAAAATATTTTGCTAAGAAAAGAAGTTTCGCAGTTAGATTAGGGTTAGGGTCTTGCTAAAAAGTTGGGTTTATAAGGCCATAGTTATGCCAAAATTTCGCAAGGAAAACTTTTTGTTAGTGAGCAGAAGGCAGTTTCATAGACTAAATTTTGAGTTATGGGCGATTTTTGACAAAACGAACGTTTGTTTTGAATTTTCCTGATCGTGCAACGTTACACCTAATCTTGAAATTTGATTGGCCAGCGAAATTTTTTAGACTGGTATTTTAAATACTGTTGGTAAAATCATTTACATTTAAATCTAAGATCTGCATAAGAAAATCCAATTCAATTAATAAAAATTTTCTGACTACACATTATAATAAAGATGGTATAAATGAAGTATGGTGCCAGATATGCAAAAAACAGAACAATTTAAAGATAACATATAATCAGAAAAGTATTAGTCGAATACCCTCTATTCTCATTAGAATGGACTCGTCGTTAAAGTGGATTTATTTTAAATCATTATTATACTATATAATGCTATAGTGGATATTTATTTAATACAGTAAGTGGAGTTTCTTAGTCTGATCACACCGTTATAACAGGGTAGAGTGTATTAAAGAGATAAATACAATAGTGTAATAGGGGCACCGATAGCTAGTGATAGTCAGATTGTGATGGGCACGAACGTGATCTGCGCGTGATTTTGCGCGAGATCGCGCGCGTGACATGCAGATTTTTGGCCCCGTGCGAGATGCTGTGTATAATTTGAGCCGGTAGTATAATTTCGGGAGACATTTACATTGTGATGCTATGGGACCTGAAATATTTCAATAAAAAAATGAATTAGCGCAAAAACGAGCAAGTTCAAGGAAAATTTTGACTACTGTCTCGTAATATTCCGAAATCCGAGAAACCAGTAGATCGGCAGAGTCATCAATAGTAGCTAATAATCGTCTATCTTGCAAATCACGCGTGAATCACGCGCGTGATCCGCATCTAAGAGGAATTTTTGACAGAACATTGGTTGTCATCACTGCCGTGGTGTCTCACTTTCGCTTATAAGAAATAAAGAACAAAGTTGATCCTTTGATACAATATCATTCATTCTATATTACCATAATTATCATCTCCGTCTTACAGATGCTCTCATTATAATTATAATGAACATATTTAGTGGCCATAGATATAATAAACTGGGACTGGATAATCAAAATTTACATTAACGTTAATCGTCTATTTCCTTGTGTATTAAATGAAGATGGTTATATCAAAGTCTTGACATCAAACCGCGGTATAAAATGTGCATCCATTGGTCTTTTTGACAGATACAAAAGTACTGACTCTTCTTATTTGGAAGGAAGTAATTAATTAGGATAAGAGTTGATGTACAATGATAAAATTGCTCTCTTGGGATTTTATTCTAGTCCTAAGATAGTTTAAACTTCCATTTTAGATGTTTCATTTTTCTTTCGTTTTTTTAATTGCTTCGTTAAAAAGAAATTTACAATTTGATGATGTTCTATCATTTTCATACAAAATTTCATTATAAATGAGTTTTTTGGAAATTATCGGTGTACTACTCTATATTAGGTTTTCTTTTTTGCTTTGATGTTATTTTTTTACTATATGAAATCATGTTGCTATAAATCGATACCTTATTTAAAGTTCGAAAAACATATTATACAGCTCTTCGACTTATGTACAAAAATTACAAAATGGCAAGAATAAATTCTTTGATCATTGTATTGTGTATAATAATGAATTTTTTATGCATATTGGCACAATTTAATAATACTACACCCTATCCAATCACGCAAGACGGCACGTGTGGAGTTATTGTTAACAAGTCATGTGGCAATTTTGACTGTTGTTCAACAAACGGTTATTGTGGTGGTAGTTCAGGTATTTAAATTCATAATTTGATTTATTTGATTTATTTGGTTTAAATGTCAGATTTCAATAAATCATTATTATATAATAGCATATTGTGGAGATGGATGTCAAGAAGGTTATGGTTACTGCGGTATCATTCATGATGGTTTAACGATTATTGATTCATGCAAAAGAGAAAAAACTTTGGCATTAACTTTTGATGATGGTCCACGTCCGGTATATTAGATTTTTAAAATTATGCTTTCATACATTTTAATAACCTAATTTTTTTTTTTTTTTTTACTTTGCAGTGGTCTTCTCAATTACTCGACGAATTAAAAAATCATAGTATAAAAGCAACTTTCTTTGTCAACGGTCATAATGCTCTCGATTATTGCATATACGATTACGCTGATATCATACGTCGAATATACAATGAAGGTCATCAAATCGCTCATCATACATGGTCGCATCCTCATATGGCTCAGGTGTCACCTGAAGAAGTCAGCTACCAAATGCATAAGTTAGAAATAGCATTTATTAAAATTCTTGGTGTAGTCCCACGATTTTTCCGACCACCGTTCGGTGAAGGTATAAATTATGAGGCATTAAGAACGTACATGATAGAACAAGAATATAAATATTTTGCACTTTGGGATGTTGACACCAATGATTTTCAGGGTAATGTAACAAATGCAAAGACGCTTTTTTTAAATGGAATTAAAGATACAAATCCGCACGTAGTATTAAATCATGATAGGATCCGTACTACCGTTGAGGAGTTAGTACCATTTAATATTGAAAATGCACTAAATTTGGGTTATAGCTTTGATACTGTAGCTGGATGTAATGGAATATATAATAGAACTGATTGGTATAATGTTGTTGGGAAACCTCAACAAAATGATTCAACTTGGGTATGTACTCCAGATGATATGCATCTTTGATTATTTCCAATTATTATTTCCATTTATATTTATATTTGTTCCATGTGCATGAGCTTTGTTTTTTCTTTATTCACGATATGCCACATTTCCTTTTATTATGGTCCGGTGCAAAAAGAATTGCATTTCAAAAAATTTTTTAATTTTGAACAAAGTAAAAGGTTTTAAATTTTTGATTAAATATTTAAAATTTTTTATTTTTAAATAAAGTAGATTTTAATCTATTTTTTTAATAATTTTTATTATTTTGATATAATTTATTTTATATTCAATAATGTGTAATATTTCAGATTTAAATTTTTTTAGAAAAAATATATTTTAAGTATTTTCGAAATAAATACATACGCAGTTTTATGAGTTTGTACAACACAAGTGCATAATATACATATAATAAATATATAAAATTGAGTAGTATTGCAACACTCGTTATAAAAAAATTAAGCTTTAAAGTTAGATTATTTAATTTTTTTACTATTAAAAATATATAAAAATTACTAGTAAATTTATATAGCAAATATTTTTAAAAAATTACTATTAATAAAACCTTTTTATTATGTTGATAAAATAATTTATGTAGTAAATCATTTCTAAAGGACACAAAAATAGTAAATCTTATAATAAACAAAGTTGGAAATTCATGTTTATTCTATAGAAATAGCTTTTAAAACAACGTACTTTTTGGAAATTATTTTGAAATAGCAAAACTATAAAAAATATCTGTGGCGTTGAAACCGTTGGTGTGATTTAGTGAAACTGTTTATAAATCATTAAAAAAATCATACATTGTAAATTAAATTATATAGTAAAGGGAAATTCTATTTTGACCCGTCTCAAAATAGCTACCCAAGAACACCCAAAAAATTCTGAGATCAGGTGTAATTAGTGATGTGCCGTTTATATGATAGCCCAATTTTTTTCGCATACAGTACGTACAGTACGTACAGTACATACCATATAGTATATATAATTTATTAAAAAAAATTATATTAGGTTTATATTGATTATTTAATATATTTGTTTTAATATCTTAGTAATATTATATATTAAACTTTCTAGTTATTGTATTAG